AGTCTAGGTTTCCTCCTAATGTTTTGTTTTGTTTTTCCTTTAGTTTTTGGTGATTTACAGCGTGCAATATAAAGTTCTAGTTTTAATGGTGCTGTTGCTTAACCCTACTTGCGACATCCTGGGATTCTTAGTTCTGAAGATTCCCTGTTTTTTGTTCTAGAACATTCTCACCCATTACCTGTTCTTGTCTAGCCATATGGAACTCAGTGACGCACAGCTGATATTCCACTGTACCGCCCATGCATTGTAGCATCACTTTGGTATTTTCTCATCTCTTTAAGCACAGATGATTTTACACTATTTCTTTAGAACTATTATTTCTCTCTTCAACTGTTCCCAGTCAACGGATTCATCTTTGTATTGAGTTTTATATTAAAATTGATTTATTTTTTTTATTTCTGGAAACTCTATTCTCATAAAAAAAACATATTTGTCATTTTAGTTTCCTGCTCATGACTGTGTTAAAATTTCTTCCTTATTCCTTTAAACATATTTTCAAAACTTATTTCATACCACACACCTGTGGACTCTAATCTCTAAAGATTCTGTGAACCTAATTTTATCCTTGATTATTTTTGCTGAATCTCACATATAGTTTCCATTTGTGTGTATGTGTGTGTTAATATGCTTGTATTGGTTCAAATTCTACCTCTGCAAATCCTAGGAGGGTTGGGTTGAGGGTGCCTTACTCAATGGAGAGTTTTTGGGTGCTTTTCCCAGGTAGCTGAAATGTAATTACTTAAAAAAAAAAAAAGACAATTTAAAGTAATATGAAAATCAGGTCAACAAACACCTTTCTTTGCTTTGACCTGATTTTCCTATTATAGTGATTCCTTGGTTGTCAAACTCAACTCATTCCAAGGTCATGTTTGAACACCGAAATGTTTGAGAACCAGCTATCGTTTTCCCATACGATATCACAGAAAACCAAATAGCAGGTTCTGAGGCCCCCAAATTACACTTAAAACTTCAATTTTCCAGGGCCTTAACACAAAGATAACAGCCCTGGGTTGTGGAAACACCCCCCTAAAACACCAGCCATAATAAATACAAAATATTAAATATCAAAACACAACACAGTGAATAAAATTAAATAAAATTATATTATCATATGCAAATAAAGTGGGGAACAAGCACAGGGACGAATGTCTTAACGCACTAATGCAAGCGCAATTTGTTGTCTGGGCAAGAATGGCACTTACACAGACGTGCCACCCCTGTGTGTCCACAGCAGGATGAGACTTGCGACTCACTCTCAGCCCAGGCAGGTTTTAAGTCACCCTCTCGGCTGACTCTCGAGCTCAGTTACAAACACTGAGCAGGTTTGCTGTTGCTGTTGTTTTGAACGCTGCTGTTCTAGGAGTGAAAAGTCTGAGCTTGGAGCCGTGTGACAACCTAGCTACCACGGTACTTTAAATAGCCTTCTTTCTGTCTTTGAATTTTTTTTTTAATGCGATGAGAACAGTGAGATCACCTAACTTCAAAAGTTAAGTATGTCTTAAGGCCATCTCACATAGTCTTTTGAGTCCACCCTTTAAATTTTTAATTTCAGGATGACATCCGACCATCCCACGTCCATCAAGTCCGTTCCAACTCATAGTGACCCTGCAGTATAGGGCTGCTGAGATCACGGAACAGATAGCCTCATCTTTCTCCCGCAGAATGGCTATTGGGTTTGAACCACAGAGGTTGCAGTTAGCCGCCCAACGTTTACCTGACCGTGTCACCCAGGGATCCTGAATTAGAATCATTACAAACAGAAAAATGCACACATGTTAAGTGTTCAGCCTGATACAGTTTTCACCAACTGAACACAGTGGTGTGATCAGCACCCATTGCAGGGAAGAAAGCCATGGTAAAAGGTCAGAAGTCCCCTCCTGCCATTGCTTGGCTCTCTCTAAAGAAAGCCATCCCCTGGCTTTCAACAGCATGCACTAACTTTACCTGGCTTTTGTTTTTGCAATTGGATAATGCATATTCTTTGTGCCTGTCTTTTCTACCACCCAATGTTGCTTGTAAACATCAACCATGTGATTGTAGGCAGCAACCATTGGTTCATTCTCATTGATGTAGAGATTACCTTTGTATTAGTCTCAGGCTAGGAGCCCTGGTGGGGTTACTCGTTGGGCTGTTAACCAAAAGGTCAGCAGTTTGAAACCACCAACTGCTCTGAGGGAGAAGGAGAAGGATTTCTAGTCCCATTAAAAGTTACAGTTTCAACAAGAGATCTAAAAATGACGGCAAGGAGGCCTAGTGGGGCTTGATCAAGTACAACGTATAAGAGGAATTACTGAGAGTCAAGTGGAAGGTGAGCATAGCAGGCCAGAAGGAAGGTGAGAGGAAAGAAGATGGAAGCAAAAGCTATTTATAGAGGTAGAGCTATTGCAGATAAGTAAATATATTAATTTATAATGAAAGGTATAGAGACATATATATATGTATATATATATATATATTTATTTATATATTTATATATTAAAGTATAAAGATAGCAGATGGACTTTGGGCCTCTACTCAAGCCCTTTCAAACAAGCCCACATGGAAGAAGAACACCAGCCTGTGTGATCATGAGGTGTCAACGGGATCAGGTATCAGGTATCAAAAAATCCCAAACAAACATTTTTATCGATGTGAATGAGGGAGGCCAGAGTGGAGACCCAAAACCCATCTGTAGACAGTTGGACATCCCCCTACAGAAAGGTTACAAGGAAGGGACAATTCAACCAGGGTGCAGTAGAGCACTGAGGAAACACACATCATTCCACTAGTTCCTGAATGCTTCCTCCCCCGCCCCCACTACCATGACCCAGTTCTACCTTACAAATCCAGCTATACTGGAGTACACACATTGGCACAGATAAGCGCTCTTAACACATGGAATTCAGGACAGATAAAACCCTCAGGAACAGTAGTGGGAATAGTGATATGATGGGGGGGGCAGCTAGGAGGAGAAAGGGGGAGCCCATCACAAGGTTGGAGAACCTTAGGGCAACAAATAACAGAAATATGGGTGAATGGAGACCAGGAACGGTCTAAGACATGAAAGAACAACAATAATATATAATTGATCAAGGATTCATGAGGATGGGAGTGGAGGGAGGGGAAAAAAGAGGAGCTGATACCAAGGGCTCAAGTAGAAAGAAAGTGTTTTGGAAATGTTGATGGCAACATATGTATAAGTGTGCTTAATACAATTGAATGATGGCTAATCAAAAAATTTGTAAGAGCCCCACCCCTCCCAGCCCCAATAAAAGGATATTTAAAAGCAAAAAAGTTACAGTCTCAGAAACGCACCAGGGCAGTTCTAGCCTGTCCTATAGGGTCACTGTGAGCCGGAATCAACTCCATGGCACTGGCATGGGGTTTTTATTCTGATGGGCATTCTAGTGGGGGCTTTCGCAAACAGCTGCTGTGGATGCACCAGCACATGTCTTTGATAAACAAGTGTGCACATTCCTGTTGAGCGTATACCTCAAAATAGAGTTGTTGGCCCCTCAGGTGTGCAGAAGTTCAGCTTTCGTACACAGTGCTAAACTGTTTTTCAATTAATAGTAAGTGTGAGTCCTAGGTGTGCTGTGTGCTCATGAACATTTGGGTCTTCTGACATTTTATTTTTTCTGGTGGGTGTGTAGTGGCATCTCAGTGTGGTTTGCAAGTCTATGTATCTAATGACTGAACAAATGGAGCACTTACATCTAGTTTTAATTTGTTGTTGCCAGGAGGCTTATGGGCCCAGATTCACAGCAGAGTCCCAGGCCCTCCACCCAAGTGAGGCCCAGCCAAAGGCCAAGCAAACTCAGGAAAAGATTTTTCTTACAGATCATTCCAGAAACAAAGCTGAACTACAGAACCTATCAACGTTCTCTGCCACCGTCAGTGGGTTTTGCTCTTGCTTTGTGAAGGTCTGATTGGGTAATCAATCCATCCAAAACACTGACAGGCCTCGCCTCCAAGGGGAGGTAGGCAGCAGTATTGCTGTACTCCAGTTTACAGAGACAGATGGGTTCCCCATTCTCCAGGAATCTAAGACACCATAGTTTGAAATGAAACCAGCCTGGAAAGCAATCAGGTACAAAACTCGCAGTCACAATATTATGTTGAGAGTTGAGAGCATTCTTCTTTCAGTACAGAATACGAGGCAGACCAAAGGAGGTCAGCTTCCAGGAAAGCAGAAACAGGCGAGTTCTCTAATGACTTAGCGCTGCTCATAGAGCAACTACGTCTTAAAAATCCCACAGCTTCACAGTGTTTATTGTGACAACATTTCCTTAGCTAATGAGCTAATTATAAAAGTGCCTTAACCTAGCTTACAGGCGACATTTCACACTTTAAATTGCATAATCATGGAGCTTGGGACACAAATCATTGGGTTTGCTGTCATTTTCTTAGCTACTAAAATGGCTTCGAGTCATAGTTCTGTGTTCTTAGGTCGAGCCCAGGGGCAAAGACAATTCCCTCAGATCTAGCAGCCCACGGATAATTTCCAATAGCTAAACAATCTCAGTGTGATATTATTTCTCAAAATCAATTCCTTCATATTAGGTTAATACCCTCTTGTGTTTCTGTGCATTTTCAATATCTTCCTTCTTTTCGTTTATTTTCAATGCATTGAATTTTTAAGAAGATCGTTTTGAAATTATGGTAATGAGGTTATGTGCCTGTTAAACATCTAAACTGCTCTAGTTCATCTTTTATTACAGAAACAAAGGCTCTTTAAAGGAGATATCAATCTGAGTGGAAAGAAGACTTCACCTGTTCAGGTGGGCGGGCACCATTCTCCTCGGGAATTAGTGAAGAAAAACCACTTAGAGACGGCGGCAGCCTGTGGAGCCAAAGGGAGAATCCCGTGAACCCTGCAGAAGTTCTTAGATCCATCTTCTGAGGTAATGAACCCAGGGACCCTTGCTCATTGGACTTGGATAGCCATGTCGGGTCACTGCTAGGAACCTGGACACTGACTTCCAAGCACCGATAAATGTGTGAACATTGATCTACACCAATCCTTACAGGCATTAATGAATGAATCAGGGCTTCTCACAATAAAGAAAAACTGAAAGGATTGTCACAAGAGAGCATCTTAATCTTGAAAACCAGCTAGCATGAGGCAAGGCTTACTTTGCCACGTACTTTCTAGGAACTAACACCATTGCCACTTTAAAAGGAAATGAAAAGAAACATGGGCAGCGTGTGTATTGAAGAACAGCATGACCTGGACCACTATCTGTTTCCAATTATTTACATCGTTGTGATTATCATCAGTATCCCAGCCAATATCGGCTCTCTCTGTGTGTCTTTGCTGCAAGTCAAGAAGAACAACGAGCTAGGAATTTACCTGTTCAGCCTCTCACTCTCAGATCTGCTGTACACGTCTACTCTCCCGCTGTGGATTAATTATACTTGGAACAAAGATAACTGGACCTTCTCCACCAATCTGTGCAAAGGGAGCGCTTTCCTGATGTACTTGAACTTTTACAGCAGCACGGCCTTTCTCACCTGCATAGCTCTGGATCGATACTTAGCGGTGGTCTACCCCCTGAAGTTTCCTTATCTCAGGACAAGAAGGTTTGCCTTTGTGGTCAGCCTCTCCATTTGGGGATTGGAAACAGTCTTCAACGCCGCCATGTTGTGGGAAGAGGAAATCACCATTGAGTATTGCGATGCCGAAAATTCCAGTTTCACTTTATGCTATGACAAATACCCTTTGGAGGAATGGCAAATCAACCTGAACTTGTTCAGGACGTGTGCGGGCTATGCCCTCCCTTTGGTCATCATCCTGTTTTGCAACCAGAAAGTCTACAAGGCTGTGCGGCACAATCAAGCCACAGAAGATGGCGAAAAGGAGAGAATTATTAAGCTCCTAGTGAGCATCACACTGACGTTCATCCTGTGCTTTACTCCTTTCCATGTGACGGTGCTGGTCCGAAGTATTTTAGAGCGTGATGTAAATTTTCGTGGCCACCAGACTGGGAAGCAGACTTACAAAATATATAGAATCACGGTCGCGTTAACAAGCTTAAACTGTATTGCTGACCCAATTCTGTACTGTTTTGTGACTGAAACTGGGAGGTCTGATCTGTGGAATATATTAAAATTCTGTACAAGGAAGCTTAGTAAATCACGAAGACAAAGAAAAGGTATACTTTTCGTGTCTACAAAAGAGTCTGTGGAATTAGAGGTCCTAGAATAGAGCCTGCAAGATGAGCTTTCGGGTTGGTTCTTAAGGCA